TTGAAAGAGTGTACGATTAAAAATACATTTGGGAAAAAAAAGTGTTTTTAAAAAACTTAAGGGATTAAAAATAATTTTTTTAGTAGATTGTAATAGAAGTTTCTGAAATGTGTAGTTAAAAAGTTGTGGGACCCATAAAAGTGTGGTTAATATTGATTGTTTTATTTTAACTTACATTAAAATTAGATTTTAATTCATACCAAACAGACTCTGGATTTCAATCAATTCGTGGGTATGTGTATATTTAATTTCAATAAAGTCATAAGTACAGAAAAATTTAACAGAACTTATACTGATGTTGATGTGGCAAAATGTAAGTGGATTTTTTTCTTCTTTTTTTCTCATCTTCCAGTAATATCGCGCCATATGTTGTCTGTAAGATTTTTCTAACAAAAAATTCTTATTTGTAGCACGATTCATTTAATTTAAATTTTACTCTCATTATCTTTTTGCCTTTGCAAAGCAAATTAATGCGTTTGTACTGGAGTTCCTGTACAAACAGTTTTATAGGTGCTAATTGGCCGTACTTATATGATTGAATTTATTTATTTATTTTTTGCCAACACCCAATGAAAAATTGGCAAGTGTCTTCATGTATAAAACTTTGTCAAACATCCCCGTACAAATAGTATTTCTCTTGCAAAGCTCAGTTTGCTTCAACACGACTTTTGTTCTTCGTTGGCAAAGGATCTAAGAAAAAGTTGCTATTAGAACTCAACTACTTCAAGTCGAAAAATCACTTTTTAAGTAGTCTTAAAGCTATCATCCACTTATCACCTTTATGGGCTCACTTTATTTCTTGCTTTTTTAACATTCTTAAATATGAACTTAAAGCTTATTTTTGTGATAATTGCTTTTTATTTTTTGATTTGGGTTGATTCTTTAGCTCATTATGTACAGAAAGTGACTATGGAAGATGCGAAGATTTGAGAACTAGTTATATGGTGTTGAAGGTTGAGGACAAGAATGCTATGTGAGGAATTTTGAGAATGAAGAAGTGAAGAGGTGGAGTGGTGATAATTAACGTTTAGAACTTAGGTTTTGTTTGTCATTTGGTTGATTGGACATTCCTTCCTCAGCATTAAAGATTGGGTTTAGAGAGACATCGACAAACAGCATAGTTGGAAGATATGACTTTATAGAGAGTAGATTCTCGCGTACTCCTCGACAATCGACTGCATCTCAGCACATGATTCAGTTGTACATGGGTGAGACTAGTGAATTGAGTGCTTAAAGTTTTTTTGACTGAAATTGGGGACGGACAATTAGGCTTAAAAAGTTTATGGAGCCGTGGAAATCGCATTTCACATATGGTAATTTTTGAGAGTTTGATGGTTTGATTGAGTTAATTTTTTTAACGATCTTAACTTGCTACATAAAATTTTCGTAAGTCACATCAACAACGAAGGGAACGGAAGTTGGAGGTTGATGGTATGAGTGTAACTCTCAAAGACGAGTGATTATTGTGAATCATTTTGAAGTTTGATGAGTTAATCGTGACTATAGTATAAGTTGGATGAGTAACGAAATATTTTACTTTGATGGTTTAGCTGATTTGTAATTTTTTTTCTAACAACAATAACTACCGCGTGAATTTTCATTTTACTGGTCAGCAATGAGAGGAACAGAATTTAGTAGATGATGATGGAGTGCAAAAGAACATAGTTCGGTGAGTATTGTGAATCACTTTAAAATTTAGTAAGTGAACCATGATTATTGTAGAAGTTGGGTGATTATTTAAATATTTAACTCAAGCTACGAGCTATATTTCTATTGTTGAATGCACAATGCCTTTCAGAGTGGATCAACATAGAGGCTAGAAAAGTACATTCGATAGGAATTGGGTTGTCAATAGGTAGATGGTTTGAAAATTCATAATTATCATCTAACATTATCCAACATGTTAGCTAACTTTTAAGTGAAAATTTCATAATCCAGGTATACTATTTACACCAATTTAGAAATCACGTAGATAGTTAAATTCAAAATTCGGGTATATATTTAATTAATTGAATATATTTATTAAATAAATATAATAAAGTCACAGTTATACGATTAATGGTCACAGATTCATAATTATAAATCACAGATTTATTTACTGGTCACATCATCAAATTAGTTGGTTACAGATTATTTCGAAGTCACAAATAAAATTTTTTATAGGCCATAGATTATTTCGAGGTCACAAATCAAAAATTTTATATGTCAAAGTTTATTTCATTAGTCATAGATCAAAAAATTAAAGGTTACAATTTATTTATGGGTCACGTATTTTCAAATTTATTGGTCACAGATTCCAAATAGTTTGTCACATGCACCAAACACCCTCACCACCGGTCTCAATCCAACACCAATCTTGGTTACAAATCACCAACTCACAATCGTCGCTTGCACCACACCAACGCAACCACCACACCATCGCCTGTACCGCACCACCACCTCACAACCGTCACTTGCACAACACCATCACAACCACTACCAACAACAACAAAAACGACACAAACACACCACTGTCGTCGCCCCCCACCACCTGCTAAATTCAATAAAACCCCAAATAGTTGGTCACATGCACCAAACACCCTCACCACCGGTCCCAATCCAGCACCAATCTTGATTACAAATCACCAGCTCACAATCGTCGCTTGCACCACACCAGCGCAACCACCACACCATGGCCTGCACCGCACCACCACCTCACAACCGTCACTTGCCCAACACCATCACAACCACTACCAACAACAACAAAAATGACACAAACACATCGTTGCCGTCACCCCCAACCACCTGCCATTCAATAAAATCCTAAACTATCAGATCCACCACCACAAATCGTCACCCCACGAAACACCAGCATCGCCACATTACCACAACCTACATCACCACCAAACACCCTAGCACTCCCACAAAATAGATCGGAAAAAAGCCCAAAAATCATCTCAATGCTATTAAAGCAACCCTTCAAACCGGCAATTAACACAAACCACCAACTTGCACCACCACCACAACTATCAACAAGCAATCACAATAAATTTTATCAAAAAATCACCAACAAGACCACCGCCACACCTTATGTTTTCCTCCCCGATCTGCAACATCAACCACTTCTCTATCGTTGGAGTTTTATGTCGACTTTAAGTTGTCGGACTGACGACGAAGAGAAAGGAGAAGGGAGAGGAAAGAGTGAAGAGACCAACACCAACCTGCCTCCACTTTACACCACCACCACACCTTCTCTTCTTTACCTGATCTGCAGCACCATCACTTGTCAATTGCCAAAGCTTCATGTCAGTGCGGGCGACGTCAGAGAGCATGGAGAAGGAAAGGAGAGAGTAAAAAGACCAACACCTACCTACCTAAACCTTATATCACCACCACACCTTTTCTTTCTCCGTCCCGATCTGTAGTTCCACTGCTTGTCCATCATCGGAGCTTTATGTCAATTGGCAACGTCAAACAGCATGATAAAGGGAAGGAGAGACCGAAGAAAGAGAGAGAGAGATTTAAGTTTTGAAAGGGATTGGGAATGAATTGGGTGGGATTGATTAATATAATAATAATAATAATAATAATAATGATAATATTATTATTATTATTATTATTATTATTAAAATATATAATTATTACCCGATTCATGATTAATTAAAGTTTGTAAATGATTTTTGAAAATAAATCTTCAAACACCGACTACTGTGTAATTTCCACAATCTTTAAATTCTTACTCATAAGGAATCAGGCTGTTAAATGGGCCCCGACCACTTTGGACTAACAAATATCATCTACCACTATAAAACATGTTAGCTAGTCTTCAAATTCTTACTTATAAGTAAATAAGTACATTTAAAATGAAATTTCTTAATGTTATAGCTAAAATAAATTACTTAGAAAGTATTAACGAGTTGTTGATCCTACTACAATTTTACCTCCCTAACTAGCCTCCTAAGGCTCCTTATGTTATGGAGGTTATTTGGCATTGTGATGCACTTTTTATCTGGGGTGAATTAAGGTTAATATGGATATAATTGCTTGCAGGAGTCCTGGGCTTACTGATACTAGTCGAGGTATTATGTTTCTCAATTCTCTCGAATGGTTGTTTTGTCTTCGAGGTTAAGGGTAACTATGCTATTTGTGTCATCAACTATGCTTGGACCATGATTGGAGGAAGCCTGGTTGATGAGCGATTCGACTTATTTAGTGGATATGATCTTAAAAAGTTTTTTTGGATGTGAGGTCCAAAATATACTTTGCCCTTGTTTGAGCCTCATTCATTTCAAAAGAATTCATTTTTGAATAGTGCATTAATGAAAAAGTGTGTCGTTAAAAAATAAGGAAAAATTTTGAATTTATGTGTAATATTATTTTATTGAAAAATATGTAATTAAAATTATTTTAAAATACTATTTAAAAATGTATTTTTGTCCAAAGAATGGAGCTCAAACATGAGATAAATGCTTAGGCCAACTTATTCAGATAGACATGGTAGTCAACTAGTATATCACTATAAGGGTGGGTAATGAATCCTATAGTATCATGATCTCATCGCATCATCTCTCATATTTAGCGATGAACAATTCTTTATTTTATTTATACGTTTATTTATTTTTGGAACATTAAACATGCCTCATTATAGGTGTGCTGACACGTAGTTTGGTTGCATGTGATCATAAAATGTTGGTATGTGCATATAATGAATGTTGCTTATTTAACTAGAAGTCGAAAATATCCTCGTGCACATTATTGTTTCACAACTACTTTATTAAAAAATAGAATCATATTATACGTATAGATTTTCTTCATATAATTATTTCACAGATGACAAAACATCATCGAAAGATGGAAAAAAAAAAGAGAGGAATGGGCTGCCGCCATGGCAACATCACGTATGAGACCCGTGAAACCTCCCCTATACTTAGGGAATAAATCCTAAAAAATAAGATCAAATAGTAACACATCCAGATCAAAATAATAATAATAATGAAAAATTACACAAAAATAACTTATACTTGAGAGTAGACAAACATACTCCAAATAAAGCGGGTAACGATGAAAGCTAATTCTCCATAGTCACCCTACTTTATCACCTTAAACTTTCCCAAACCCTTCCTCCTAGGGTTTTTCTCCTTTACAAATCATACAGATCCATATGCATTATCATATAAGTTCATTTGATGAAAGCTAAAATTGATTTTTTGAGAATTAATGATCTTGTGAAGTTTCTAATTCCATTCAGTTCGCGGATTAGCTCGTCCTGCGCCTGAAATCAAAGGAGCAGGTTGATCTCTTGCTCTCTTCCCGCACTATTCTCCCACTGAAAAGAGCAATTGAGAATCTGGAGCACCTTTCTGAACGCCCGTCAACGGGAAATGAGTCTCTTTTACTCAGGTACTATAGTAGTCCATCCTCTATCTGTCATAGATATCTGTTGTTAAATGTTTACGCAGTGATTTTGTTAGCCGAGCTTTTAGTAGTGTTGTACTACGATTGGATCTCGAGGGGTTTAGCTGAATGACATTCGTGATAGTAAATTTGAAGATATATTTCTGGAATAATTAGTAAATGTTTAGTGGGATTTTTCTTCTGAGGCTTCATGGTTTTTGGAACACTTGAAGAATTAAAGAAGAGAAAATACAGTTCTCTCTTTTCTCTCTTTGGTTTTGTTTTTGCTTTTTTTTTTTTTCTTTTTTTTTTTTTCGTTTTCGTTTTTGTTTTTGATTTTGATTTTGTTTTGTTTTTGTTTTTGTTTTTGTTTTTGTTTTTTTGGGAAAATAAAGCTACTTTTTTTTATTAGGATTTGATGAATATATATTTATGGTTTCAGGTATTTTTGAAATTCATTTTTATGAGCTGCTTATAACTAAAAATGAAGGACGAAATGGAGATTTTTTTAAAAAATTGAGAAAAAGTGAGAAAATGTAAGATGAAGCGAAATAGTAATTCTTATATCATGATTTCCTGTCACTGGAAAACAAGATTCAATTGAAGTTTACACAATAAGATGCATTTATTGGGCTTACATCTTTAGTAGGGTTACAATATGTTTTCTGGGAGTTCCAGAAGTTGTACTTCTAGTCTCTATGTTGCTGTATCGTTAGTAGGTTTCGTGGATTGTGTAAAGAACGGTCCTCGAGACAAGGGTAAGTGACCCATTTTTAAATTCGTTGCTTTGGTTCGTAGTGTTCTACTTGAGAAACAATTTTTTATTATTTATTTATTTTTTTTTTAAATATTTTGAATGAAGAAGGAAGGATAAGCACATGGAAGCAAAATAGTGTTAATATCATGATTTCCGCCAGTCTTTCATTAAGTAAGAACTTCCCATCGCGGAATTCAGGAATTGAAAATCCAAAAGTGTTTAAGAAATTTTGATCAATTTTTAATCTTGACAATGAAATATGAAGCAAATACGACCTTTTTCCACCAAACAAGTCAATAGGAAATTTCAATAAGAAGCACTTATTGAATTACAATTTTAGTATAGTTTGTATGATGTATTATCTAGGTTTGCAAATCAGATACATTACAATTTGCTTAAGTATAAACTGATGATCAGATTATCTGCGTACATTTATGGCTTTGCTGGTTCCCTGCATCACCTTCTAAATTTATAGTAATGTTTTCCCTGTTATGTAGGTATTCGATATGCTATGACTAGTATCCGAGGACAGTTTTTAATTACCCCTGGCTTTCTATTCTGAGTCTCCATGTCGCCAGATGGTTAGTAGGGGTTATGGATTGTGTAAAGACTGCTACCCGAGTTAAGGGTAAGTTACCTATTTCAAATTTCACTATGTCGGCCTTGTAGTGTTCTGGGTATTTTTGACAGACTAGGAATAATTATGTGAAATTGTGTGCTAGCATCCTTTAAAGTTTTTTTCTCCTCTCTCTCTCTCTCTCTCTATTAAGAAACTGCTTGAAGTATGTCTCTTTGAATTTTAGTTTGAGCAAGGCTAAGGACCATGAAAATTAGTTGGTATTCTTTTTTTGTGCCATTCAGTTCACTCATTGAAGTTCGTCTATGACAGGAGCTCATGCCATTTTATTCCTTCGTTTCCATCTCTTTTTCTTGCTAATCGTGTGGGATCTCTTGAACATTTCTTTGCTTAGATGGAGCGGTTCCCTAATCTTAAGCCCCTGTTTGAGCCCCATTATTTTAAACTCATTTTCCCTCTTATCTCATTTTCAACCACCAATTCTCCCAATAAAATAATTTTGTATGTAAATCCAAACTTTTTCCAATTTTTTAACCACACATTCTCAAAAAAAATAAAATAATAATAATAAAAAAATACAAAATCTATTCTCAGAAAATGGGGCTCAAAGAGAGGCTAAATTCAATATGCATTCAACATAGTTGTATCTGTGCTGGTAAGCTAGGGATATATGCTGGTAATTCACCTGAATATGCAATGAATGCATTTCATTAGTGATGCTTTTCCTACTGTCCTTTAAGTACAAGTTGCTTATAATGATTATGTTCTATTACATTTGACTTAAAACATCTTGAATCAATGCCCCATTATGTTTTGAGGTTTTATGATGCAGCACCAATAGAACACCCAATGGAATATGAGAAATAATTCAGTAATGAAGAAGAAATCAGAGGTAGAGATGGCAAAAGAAGAAAACAGTAGAAGAAGGAAACAAGTAATGGAGGAAGAGAGGAATTTCGCCACAAGCCACCAAATATTTTATTCAATTATCAACTGTTTCAATTACATTACAAACCAGATTTAAATAGCAAAACAAAACCCTTAAAAAAAAAAAAAAAAACCCTAAAGAGAAAGGGCCAAGCCCATTATATAAGTCCACTAATGTAAATAATAGTCCAACTAAAATAAATAAGAGTCCAAATAAAATAAAACAAATATAGGTGGATGTCCTCATTTTATATGGTAACGTCGAACATGCAATGTTTTCTATTAAAACAATTGAATATATCCTGATTCTAAAGGAATGTTTAATGGTATTGCAGGTTCTTTCTCCCATCAGTTACTAATTTTTGCTGTCTGGTTGTCTAGCTTTCGGAATGTGCTGGCTCTGCAGACACTCCCTGAGCCTAGTCACATTTCTTCCACATCTGTGCTGGCTAGCCCACCAAAAAGTGGAATATTCGAACCCATAGAAATATCACCAGCTGTAATTCCTCATCTGCCTTCTCCTGAGGATTCTTTCCCACCAATGTATCCGACTTTTCCAACTACATACGATCCAGTCCTGACTGGAAGGTGCCTTGTAAATTTCTCTGCCATTTCGAGTATCATGGACAAAACAGCATGTGACTGTAATCAACCTTTGGCAGCAGTAGTAGGAAATGTTATATGCTGCCCACAATTTAGTAGCTTGCTCCACATATTCCAGGGATCTTACAGCACCCGTTCTGATAATTTAGTTTTACAAAATGCAGTTGCCGATGATTGTTTTAAAGATATTGTCAGTATACTTGCTAGTAGAGGAGCAAACAGCTCACTACCAACCATCTGTTCTGTAAAATCTTCAAATCTTACTGGTGGTTCTTGTCCAGTGAAGGACATAACCACTTTCGAGAAATCAGTGAACACAAGCAAATTACTGGAGGCTTGCGGTAAAGTTGATCCTCTCAAAGAATGCTGCAGACCAATTTGTCAGCCTGCAATTATGGAGGCTGCACTTAAGATCTTGGGAACTCAGTCATTTTTGAATGACAATAAGAATATAATTGGACCATCAAATCATGTTGACATGCTTAATGATTGTAAAGGCGTGGTTTATTCATGGATCTCAAAGAAACTCCCTCATGATGCTGCTAACACAGCATTTCGAATATTGTCTGCCTGCAAGGTTAACAAAGGTGTGTGCTATAATATTTCCACCCATATGCTATAGGATTGTTATGGATCTTGAATTCGAAACATTTTAATTCTGCCGCCATGTCCTTGCCTTTATATTTGGCCTCATTGGACTGAACTTCTGCGGAATATTCAGTAGATCTGCTCTTTTTCTGATTTGCAGGGGATCTCAATCTGATCAAAATAAATGATCTAATATAAAGTCCACTACGTCTTCTACATTTATTAAGGAAAGAATACACTGCTTAAACTGCTTTAGGAAAGTAAAGTTGAGATTTAGGAGTTTTAAATTGGAATGTATTTATTCTCTTTTAACTCAAAAAAGAATGTGAATTTCCTTAACATGTTTCTTGTTATGTTGGATTTAAGGTGATTTTCAATGAAACTGATATTGTTCATTGAATTTCTTATTTAGAAGCCTCTTTTGAATGGTTATGATATTACTTTATGCTTTAAATTTCATTGATGAGACCTTGCCATTTTGTTAATAGTGATAACCATTCATATAAAATATTCTGTTTCTATTTTCTGCATGCACGTGTTAACAAATCAATGCTGAAGATATGTTAACTGAATAAAAATAATCTACTCCAATTGGTTCCTCTTATTTTCATAAGTACCGAAGCACATGCAATGACTGAAACAAGTAATTAGTTAGTTTATCAAAGTTACCTATTGCAAAAATGATAGTTTAAGAGCCATTAGGATGCTTTGATGGATTCTGCACAAAGACAAGCTGATTAGATGTTCTACAACATTTAGATATAAACTTTGTTAAGTATGCAGCATCTGCTTGCGGTTTTGAATCCCGCCGCCTTTCCTACAGGCTTTATCTCCTATCCTTAAAGAAGAATTGGAGTGGATATTGAAATCTGAGTGTCATTCTGTGTGCGCTATATCAGAGCTACTTAGTTTTGAATAATGGATAGATGTATTATTTTGTCTTCTAAATGATCATCTTGTGGGATGCAGTTTGCCCTTTGGATTTAAGGCAACCATCAGAAGTAATTGAAGCATGCCAAAATGTTTCTGCTCGTAGTCCTTCATGCTGTAGTTCGTTAAATACTTACATAGCGAGGGTACGTAGGCAAATGCTAATTACAAATCGGCAAGCAATAATATGCGCTACTGTATTTGGGTCCATGCTACAAAAGGCTGGGGTGATGACTAATGTTTATCAGCTTTGTGATGTGGACTTGAAAGATTTTAGTCTCCAAGGTGAGTATTTGAATTATGATTTCATTCTGGAATCTTTTGTTAAGTTATTTCTCTGATCTGATAATCTCTTTCCTCTCTCTGTTTCGTGATGGAGCAGCATATGGACAAGAAGGTACTCTCTTCGTCCACCTTGTCCTCTTTCATTTAATATTCCTTTTTTGGTGTTCTATATATTGGTTTTCTTTCTTGTGGGATGCAGTTTATTGCTTATTTGCAGAGCATAATTCCTTTTATTCGCTTGCAAAGCATTCATTTTTTTCAACTTTTTCTCCCGCTTGAACTTGAAGATGTCTGCATGTCCTTACTGTTTTACGTAGTTTTAGCTGCTTGGGACATTCTTCTTCGGTAATTGAATTGCTACTGTTTGGGTAACACTTCAATTGCCCTAATATCGTGTGACTATAGTTCTTGTTTGATAAGATCTTAAGATGTCTATGAAAAAATTTGATTGCCTAGTTACTGATTTAGTCACAGCTCAGCATCTTCAATTACCCTAATATCGTGTGACTATTGTTCTTGTTTGATAAGATCTTAAGATGTCTATGGAAAAATTTGATTGCCTAGTTACTGATTTAGTCACAGCTCAGCAGTCAACGAGCTTCCCTTTGTTTAATTGTCTCAGTTTGTCGATCAAAAATTGCAGTCACATGACTCTTGTTTAGTCAGAGCTCACGGTTAATTTTAAAAATAGGTCTAGTTTCTGTGCCCGTATTCAACTGTTCCAGCTGTGCTTTACTTATTGTTTTTAAAATGGATTCGAGTGAGTTCTTTAACTGAATAAGAACTTACCAACCTTACCAAATTGGATAGAGTAACGGCTAGGAAATGAGTAATAAAACACCAAAGAAATGCCAATGAAAAAGGATAAAGTAACACCAAGTAAAATGGATGCAAAGTCGAGGCAAGAGTTGAACTATTTGTCCTTGAGTCAATTTTGCCTTGCAACGATGCCTGCAAATGATGATTATCAACTCTCACGATACAATGACTACCGTCTTGTGTTTTTAGCACTCCAAAGCTACAAGAACGTATCAAATGATGGTTTTTGTACTCCTTTCTTTTGAAATGAAAGACAGAATTTTATGCAGAATTTTGGCTAGGAAAATATGAATTTTATGTTATGCTATTATTGCATATGATTAGAATATTGTAATGAACGTCTAAAGGATCTTATTTATAGAAGAGGAGAGGGTGTGAGTTAAGAGATACTCCCCAAACTCACCAGCCTATGTGAAGGGTCGCAACCCGTTGCTCAAGCGCCAGCAGTGTTAGTTTATGCAGAGACTTGTCGCTCACTACTCGAGCACTAGGTGAGCGGTGGATTTAGGCAAATTCCCGGTCAATTTTTCCTCTTTTCTTACAAATTTTGGATCATAATTTCTCATTCATTTGGAATTGATTTTGAGATTTCGAATATACCGTGATCATCTATTCAACGGGTAGAATAAGTTAATCTATTTATTTTCATAATTTGACTACCGAATCAAGTTTGAATATTTGGCTGAAGTTGACACTAAAAGTCTTTTTTTTTTCATGGTTTTATACTTTACCAAGTTTAATCTCTTTTAAATCAAATTCCAACATTACTAGCATTTCTTTTCGTGTTGTCCAGCCTTATGTCTAAGCATCTGGTTTCGTATTCTGCATTTATTTCAGGATTCTGCTGATTTAAGTACTGTGTGAGCTTTTATCAGAAATCTCATGCAGAATCCAGCCATTGGTTATATTTTGTTAATTTCAAGTGAATCTTTTTAGGTTTGTACAGAGTGTGGCATATGCCTTCAATTTCAGATGACTTCTGAGAGAGAATGTGGATTTATTGATTGCATTTTAGCTCTTCTGCCCTTCACTCGCCTATATTCTCCTCCGTTAATTGGGATTGACCACAACAAAAGACTCGGCCTTATTCTCACTGTAATTTGTGGTCAGCTGCATGCATGCATCATTTTTTCCCCCACATCTCTGTTGGATCCATTGCTACATCTGTTGTAAGATCCTAAGCAACTAAATTCTTATAACCTAAATATGTTGCTTCCTTACATAACATCCAAACACCTAACACGTCATTCCCTTAATTCGTCCTTAACTGTGTATATTCTCATTCCCTTAAATATAAAAGGAAATTGAATAAAAGCAAATATTTTTGTTAGTAATTACCAATTACACCTTCAGATTTCGTCTCTACTGGTTCTATAGTAAAAGATCAATTGATGAAAACCAAAATTAGGACTGTATTTGGCACTTCTAGTTGTTGGTTTGGTCCTGGGCTGAACCACATGCATTAGTCAGTCAGTTGATCAAGTTCTAATATAAACCTGTTTTATCTAGCTATAAAAATTAATTTGTGTCTTTAATTATAGCCCCTGATTGAGGCCCATTCAACTACATATTTTCTTCAAGTAAAATAATTTTATACGTAAATTCAAAACTTTTCCATACTTTCTAACCACACTTTCTCCAAAAAATTCACTTTAACAAGACAAGTAAATAATATTTTGTAACTTAATAATGACGAGAAAGTTGAATTAGTCCATAGTAATTGACTTTGTAAAGTTAGTTCAGATTGATTTCATCTTGGGCTACCTTTGAACACGTTTTAGCTTCCAATTCGACTAACTGTAGAGCTTACTAGATACGGCTTATCGAGACATACCTGTGCTTACTAAGAGTGGTTCTGACATTTGCCAAACACTGCAACTGCCATGTTGAACTTTTGTACTTGAAAGTAAGATGCTTTTTCTCAAGTAGATTAAGCGGTGGTACTTCTAGTAGATTGTTGGAAATAAGTTTGCGCTAAAGACTAATAAATCTTTATACCCAAATGTAGGGTGTTTACTACGAAGCCTACCTGCAGATATGGTGTTCGATAATTCATCGGGCTTGAGCTTTACATGTGATCTAAGTGACAATATTGCAGCTCCATGGCCCTCATCGTCGTCTTTCACGTCGTTATCTCTTTGTGCCCCTGGTAATTGATTGGGAATACCATTTTTTACTGTTCATGTGTTTTCAAATAACTCGATAATTTGTTTAAATGACCATACGCTGATGACTTGTACTTAAACTTGCAGAGATGTCCTTGCCAGCATTACCAACATCAGACACTTCAGGTAACCTTGCTCATTTTGGTTTTGGTGCGTGTGCCTGCATTTGTTGACACCTTTATCATATACATCATTTTTATTTCATCACAAACAGGTATTAAATTTTAAAATAAGAAATGACTTTGGTGAATGAACTCAATGCGGCTAAATGCAGTTCTTTCTTTTAGGAGACTACTAAATCATTGACTATGAGTCTGGGAAATCTTGGTGTTTCAGTTTGCCTATCCGTCTATGGACATTAGTTTTGTTCATTTAACCTACTTTCTCCCCAATGCTTCCCATTAAATATTGGTGTATTCGGGTTGGTCGCTAATTAATCATAACGAAAGCTTTATGTTAGATCGCGCTCCTAAGTTATGGTCCTCCATAAGTTATTTGGTCTCAGTCCTTCCTGTGACTCCTTTCATCCTATTAAGTTTTGAAGACAAATTTAATGAATGGTTGATATATAACAAGGAGCAATATTATTCATAATCAATCACTTCAATAGTCATTCTATGTTGCAGCTTTTTATTTGAGGTAGCAAAATCACAGTAGAAAATTAATGACTCGTATCAGAAGCTGCCACAGAGAATAACTATTGCAATCATTGACTGTGAATAACATTATTCGTAACTAAAACAGATCCGTTAATTGAAATGATTATATATGGATAACCTGATGATCATGTTTTGTACATTGCAGGTTGTGATAGGGGTGTGGTGGATTTCTTTGTACCGATTCTTCTTCTTTTTGTTTTTGTTTTGGGTTCGTTGCTATTGTAGAGAGAATCTGCTGAGCGTCGAGACTTGTTTGAGTTAGAGGGCTTTAGATTGACTGTGTGAACATGTTACGTGTATATTTTGAGCATCTTTCTTCGTGTATAGTTTTTTTTTGGTTCGGTTTTATTTTATGATCAATTCTAAGTAATTAATAATAATGTTTTTAGCTTTTACAAGGAAATTGTTTTTCTCTATTTATTTAATGAGTAATTATATTTAAGGTTTTCGTTCATGGTAATATTTATGTTCTTAACTTATTTTATCGAATTTTTATTTGTAATTTTTTATTAATTACATCTCATTTTCGATGATGATTGTATTAATGTTTTGTGCTTGTGCGCTTTGAAATGAGGGGAGAGAATTTCTCACTTTTAACATTTTTTATTTTTTTGAAAAGGTAAGATGATCTCTACGTTGAGCTTTTGGATGAAAATCGTAATTGAACTCGAAGTTCAATTTAATGAATGATTAAAGATTATAATGCACAAAAAAGTTGGGAACATAAGTGCAACAACAAATAAGATGAAGGAATTTAAGTGCAAATAAAATGTAAGTAATAAAAATTGTAGTGTGAATATAATTAGCTTCTGAATAATGCTATTCATCTCTAATAGTGTTAAGCACAGTTACATTGCATTAAATAATTGACTCATTTAGCCCTCGTTTGTTTATCAGTTTTGAAAAAATGAGATTGAAAAATATAGTCGTTATAAGTTCCACACAAGAGATATAAATTCAAATTTGATGACTTGATGTGATGAATAACGATCATATTTTTCATTTTAATGAGGAAAGAATGGAAACCAAACAAGACTATGATTAATTTGATTGAACCTATAAAATATAGAGACCTGAATGAGCGCACTAGCACTATTGGTGCTAGATAATAATAATAATATTAACTTTTAGCCTCCGTTGATAAAGATTAAAATTAGATTTTTAATAAATTTTGATAAAAATGTTGATAGAATGTGTGGTTGAAAAGTTGTGAATCATATAAAATATTTGATTAAAATTAATTGTTAATTTTGAGTTGAATTTCAATCAAAATTTCTAATTATACAAAACATGAAATTAGTCTTCCAATCTCCTCCCCAGCAGGACATTCCAGGACTTCCAAGAATGAGATAGGGAAGGTCGATTGTGGGGAATTGAAATATCTTTGGCCTGAGCCCGGTCTAATTAATTATTTATTCTTTAATTTTATTCAGATTATTGAAAATATATTTTAAAAAAAATCGAATAGGCTTTATTACCGAAGATGAAAGTAGTGATTCTTCAATAGAATGGTCATTATTGTGTAAAAATGATATTTTGATTAGTGATTTTTTTGATAATTTGTAGTTAAAAAGTAAGAAAAATTTTTGAGTTTAAGTGTAAAACATTTTATTATGTACGTGTGATTGAAAATAAATATGAAAAATAAATTATTTTGTTTTAAAGAAAGTCAGATAGGGGCTAAGTTTTATTTTCATTAATCAATCTTTTTTTTTTTTTTTTTCAAATAATCAAGTCGTCAAATAAATTTAATTATGACTTTGGTAGAAGAACAAAGCCACGTAGGCCCTGATATGTCACATATATAATTTGCATGTCACCATTATTTATCAAAATAAGTCAGTCATGGATCAACTGATTTTAAATGGGTAAATATATTCATATCACATTTCAATTACAATGAATATCTATAAAATTTTCTTATTATTACATTTGTGTTCCCAACAAATTTTTTTTTTTCATCATCAACCCTTATTAATTTTCACATCTTTTGTTTATTTAGGGATGTCAATAGGATAGAGCAAGATCCCACTTCTCTCTCCGTCACCCGTTTAAGGCGTAAGGGAGCTAGGCGAGATGAGCGTTTGTCTGTTTACGTATCTATTTAATTTTTTTATATTTTTAATAATTCATTTTATTGTCGACATTAATATAATTATTAATTTTTTAATTAATTTATTTATTTATAAAAATTAAATTATTTGATTACATTTGATAAATTAAATTTTTTATTGTTTATTCTTAGATAATCTTAGTTAGTTTCTTCAATCAAATTTTCCACTTTCTATAGATACTAGTCTCTATCACGTGTGTTGCATGAATTTTGTATTTATTGTATTTTTATTAATGTATGAGTTTTAGTTTGTTTGGAAAGTTTTTGAAGCAATATCTGAAAATATTTTCATGATATAAGAAAATAATTGTAAATTATTTTTACAATTGTATAGCAGTATGTTATCTAGAAAAAATATGTTTGTATATTTTATGCTTGAATAAGAAATAAACAAACTATTTTGCTTTTATTTTTTTATAGTGTTGATATGATTGAATTGAATATGAAAATTGTATTTCTAAATTTTGTGTAATTCAATATTGTAAAATTGAAAAAAAAAAAACTCTCTGCACAGTGCCGAAAGAGTTAAACCGAGTGCGGAGTAAAAATAAAAATAATAAAGATACGGAGAGGAAAAAACATCTCCGCACAGTGCGGAGAAAATTGAACCATGTGTGGAGAGTTGGCAAACTCTTTGCACAGTGCGGAGAGTTGGTTCGCACTATGGCAAAACTCTCCTCACAGTGCGGAGAGATTTTCTCTCCGCACAGTGCGTAGAGAGTTGAACCATGTTCAGAGTAATAAAAAAAAGTGCGGAGAAAAAAAAACCTCTCCACACAGTGTGAAGAGAGTTGAACCATATGCGGAGAGTTGACAAACTCTTCGTACAGTGCGGAGTAAAAAAAAACTCTCTGCACAGTGTGGAGAATTGTTTTCAAATTCCTTAATTACAAGTCAATTTCAAGATTATAATTTTTTCGTATATACAACGAAACAGAGTCGAAAAACATGGCTCAAAATCAATTATGTTTTCTTTAAATTCCAGTTACAGCTCAATTTCTGAGCATGCAAAAAATCATATTTACGATATTAGAAATGAGTTTTCTCGTTATTCATACAATGAAACAATATGTGAGTTGTGCAAAGAATGAGATATTGATAGTACCATGGCATTGCTTTTACAAATGAAGGCTCTAGGGTACTATCCAAATTCAATATTTTACACTTACTCGATAACAGCTCTTAGACATTAGAAGCGAATACAATTTTCAATGAAATTATACTTTCAGGTTGTAGGCCAGAAATTAAAGTGTTCAATGCATTGCTCAAAAGTTGTTTGAGAAAAAACCTCTTAAAATTTGCAGATAAAGTCTCGAGAGTTTTTGTTTTTCTCTTCACACTGTGTGGATAGATAGTTTGACATCTCTCCACACTTTGTGGAGTCTTTTTTTTTGTCTCATGGAGTTTATATATACTAAAATTATTATTATTATTTTAATGTTGTTGGTATGATGCGTGTGTGGAAGAATATTTGTTAATCACCATGAACAAAATTCTTCACAAAATGCATAATAAAACTTCTTATTACACTAATAAAATTACAATAATTTTTAACATAAAAAAATCTTTTTTATTTTTAACAAAAAAACATATTTAAAATTTAGCAATTTCATAACCACTTTTTCTTTTAATTCTCGAAAATATAATTACAAAAAAGGAAACAATATTTAATACTTAAGAAATTCAATATTAAATAAGTTTTATACATTTATAACAAATTATAAATCTATATATGTAGCTTACCGTACAAATAGCTTATCGTATATGCTGCTTACCGTATTTACAGTTTACCGTATTTGCAAACAACTTATCGTATTTACACCTTACCATATATGCTGCCAACCTTATTTGCAACTTACTATATATGCTATCTACCGTATTTGTAGCTTACTGTATTTTTATATATCGATATTTGCATTTACAAATACTGAGAATGCAGAACAACGTACATTCATGACGCCGGATAGAATAGTGATTATTCTATTAATTTGTTGTAGCTGATGATTCGCAAGAAAGAAACGAAAGAAAACACCCGAAAATCAGAGAAAATACTCTGAAATCAACTTAATATTATTAATAATGTAAAATGACCAAAATTAATCCACAAACCGGGTTAAATAACTATAAAATACGAAATTACGGGAAAATTACCAAAAATGGCAAAATCTTGAAATTATACCAAAATAAAAATATTAAGTAAAAGAAGTAGGTTGCCAAAAATTTGGTGCAATTTGAGTTTTCTAACATATGGAAAAAAGGAAACAAAATATTACCATAAATAGCAAAAAAATAACTAAAAATTGAATTTCGTAAAAGAAAATAGCAGATTTTGGGCTCGAAATTGATGCCCACCAAGCATAGTTGAGTGGCCACGATGTGCTCGCCGAAGAGAGTTTTCCGAATTGGGGTCATAATAGCGATTCTGATAATCGTAGCCAAAGTTATGACTAAATTACCAAAGATGTGTCCAATTCCCCCAATCAAGAAAATAATTGCGATTCACTTTTTCATCTTTGCGTCGATCCACCATTTCATGGTATTTCAGTGCCATCATCGTGCTATCTGACAAATCAGCATCACTCGACTCGAATTCTCCTGCATCAATTCACTTACCAAATCAAATTTCAAAAAAAAATTTAGAATTTTGTTTTTTCAACATAAACATAAAATAAATATTAAATATATATGAAACACAAAATATAAATGCATATAAATATGGTGCACAATATTTAATTTTTTAATATTGAATTACACAAAATTTAGAAATATAATTTTCATACTTAATTCAATCATAGCAACACTATCAAAGAATACAATCAAAATAATTTGTATAATCTCGTATATTTTTTATTCAAGTATGAAATATATAAGTATATTTTTTTTAGATGACACGATACTATTACGTAATTGTAAAAATAGTTTACAATTATTTTCTTATATCATAGAAATATTTATAGATATTGTTTCAAAAAAATTTCAAAAAACTAAAATTCATACACTAATAAGTTACTGTGCAAAGAGGGGTTTTTTTTTTTTTTTTTATATATATAACTTTGCACTTTACGAAGAGTTAACTCTTCGCACTGAGAGGATTTTTTTTTTTTACTTCACACTTTGTGAGGACAGTGTCCGCACATATGCCATTTTTTCGTACTGTGCAAAGAGTTTTGCCATAGTGTTTGCCATCTCTCCGCACTGTGCGGAGAGATTTTTTTTCACTTCGTACTGTACGGAGAGTTTGCCAACTCTCCACACGTGATTTGCCATCTATCTGTACTATGTAGA